TCCGAAATCCACTGCAACGAGACAAGAAAAGTAGGCTATAGCCTCATTTTGCGCTTCATGTTCGCAGCTAAACTATCAAATATACATTAAATGAATCTCAGAGCAGGTCATTTTATATTTTAACACAGTTTGTCTTAAATGGACGTAAATAGTTGGGAGAAAATGATGGTGCGTCAGTCATCTATTAGATCCGCACTCGGTCTTAAAGGGGCAGTAGTCTAATAAACATGTGATGGTTGAGCCAGTAATGCGAATCAAACAACAAAAAGCAGAGAAAAATCACTCACAGCTCTTGAATGAATAACTTAAACTATAATAAGCATTAATCTAACTATGATAAACCATGCAGTGTCATTTTACATTTGATTACTAAATTAAATTTCTAATTTAAACTTTTAAATTTCTAATTTAAACTAATTTAAACTTTCTAATTACTAATTTAAACTTTTTTCAAACAGAGCGACACACTTAACTGAAAAGTAGCTAATTTTAGACCTTTCTAAAATTAAAGCACTGTGTATATAGGCTAATTTTTATCTTTGTTTAATTGTATTCTTTGTTTCACCATGTGTTTGTACTTGTTTTTGCTTATATCTCATGTATATAAAAAAACAAAAAAGCCTGCACACTGCTGCATAACAAATAGATATTTTTTCCATTTTGTGATTGGCCTAAAATGTAACCGGTTGTAGGTTGCATTAACACTAGCGGTGGATGCACAGTTTGAAGACCCAGTCAGTGATGTCACAATATGCAATTTTTCAAAAATTCATGATCACCATGACCAAAATTGTACTTTTTTTTATACTGAATCTTGACAAAAAAATATATTGACCTACCTACCGACCCTTTTTAAAAAAAAAATTTGCTGTTACTGCAAACCAAAATATTTTTAAGTATGGCCTAATTGTAATTTGTTTACAGATATTATTTGTTTCATTGATTTAATTTTTGGTTGATTGCTGTAACTGATTATGCTAAGAAATACTGTAAGTATTGAAATAAATACTTGAAATTTTCAGTCTGCAGCATCAGTGTTGTGCATGCAGTGCTTGGTAAGTTTATATATTTGTGTACAGTCTCACTATATCTCAAACTAATCATGAAGAATGTTGTGAGTTTGTCACTTTTTTTTTTAATTCATCTTTTTTTAAATTATCCCTTATGCCGAGTTCAGACTGCATGATTTTTACGGTGGCCGAGAGGTGCAAAACAAATCACAATTATAAAAACAAAAAAACAAGTCAGAAAACACAACGACAATTCAGAAAACAAAATAACAATTCAGAAAACACAACAACAAATCTGAAAACAAATTAACAAATCAGAAAACACAAAACAAATCTGAAAACAAATTAACAAGTCAGAAAACACAACGACAAATCTGAAAACAAATTAACAAGTCAGAAAACACGACAAGTCAGACAAAACGGAAAAGGTAGGTATATGTGGCGAATGGAATACTGATCGCTGATTGGACGAGACATCTGTCAATCAAGACATACAGGCAGAAGAAAGATCGATTCGCGTGTGCATGTATAAATATTAGCTGTATCGTCTAGGCTAGGGCTATTCAATTGGCGGCCCGCCAATCATCTCCATGCGGCCCGAGAGCACTCCAACCTCCCCCTCCTATTTTCTGGTGGTGTGGCTAAATTTGGTTTGATATGCGCGTGGCCGCAGTGGCGCGTGCAGCTATAGCCTACGCACTGTGTGTGTACCACGAGCGCTCCGACTGACCTGAGAAAAACGTTTTCAGTCCGAATATTTCAGCAGTTAATATGTTGTGTCCCGTATTTCTGTCGACTGAACCAGCGATATTAATCATTCGTTGGTTCGATTCCTATCTCCTTTTCACTAATTGGCCAAACGCGCGTGCATAACAGTAGGAAAACGATTCGGATTCGTTCGGACCGTTCTGTCACTGAATCATCTAAAGCGGTTTCTCGGTCAGTAAGAACAAATAGAGAACAAAATAGCGCTGTTTCAGTTGTTCACTAGTTTACTTGAACTAGGCAGCGCGGTCCAGTGGATAACCGAACGCAAGCTTAAAAGAGTTGCGTTTACTAATTAGTGGTAGGAAGATTTTAATTTGAAAAGTTTTGTTCTCCATAATATCACTAAATTAGCCGGCTAAATAGACAGCTAATATTTACACATACACATGCGAATCAATCTTTCTTCTGCCGCAGGCGCAGTCTGCTGTACTTTCTGTATGTCTTGATTGACAGATGTCTCGTCCAATCAGCGATCAGTATTCCATTCGCCACATATACCTACCTTTTCCGTTTTGTCTGACTTGTCGTTGTGTTTTCTGACTTGTTAATTTGTTTTCAGATTTGTCGTTGTGTTTTCTGATTTGTTAATTTGTTTTCAGATTTGTTGTTGTGTTTTCTGAATTGTTATTTTGTTTTCTGAATTGTCGTTGTGTTTTCTGACTTGTTTTTTTGTTTTCATAATTGTGATTTGTTTTGCACCTCTCGGCCACCGTAGATTTTAGCCACGATTTTGGCTCGCCGACAGGTTGAGAAATCGCCGACAAATGCCCGAAATCACAGGCAAATCGGTGCTCGTTCACGCGAGTGACAATCACGCAGTGTGAATGAGCAAAGACGTGATTTGAGAGAATCACCGATGAGTCGCTGACGCCAGTGAGATATTTGGCATGCTAAATATCTGGACCTGTCGGTGATTCAAAATCCTGCTGTGTGAAAAGTGTTTTGACTGAAAACTACATCGGTGATTACCGACAACCAGTGAGAGAGCAAGATACAGGGGAGTTTGGGGAGGAGTTATTGATCACATATCAACATCCATGGCATTGTTTCAGAAAAAAGATTTCTTCTCGGTCTATTTGGACCCAAGAAATGGAAGCAAAATGAGTAGAAATTTGGCAGGAGCACCCGCGTTTATTTGACGTTTCATCTGAGCTGTATCACAACCGGGTCGAAAAAGAAAAAAAGTCTCACCGTGAGAACTCCGGACTAGCACGTGTGATGTCGGGCTGTTTCCTTGTACATCTCACGTGTGTTTGTTGTGAAACGTAGTTTTTTTCTATTTTTCCCATTGTAAAGTCATGCAGTGTGAAACCTTCTGTCGCCGATCTATCATGCAGTGTGAACACAGCAGTGACTGAATGGTGGCCAAGATAGTCATGCAGTGTGAAAAGAGCAGCGACCTGACTACTTTTAAAATCTTGCAGTCTGAACTTGGCATTACATAACAATGTCTGGCCAAAAATCTAGCACATGCTATTTCCTAAAAATAGTTTTTTACAAATGTGTTTTTTTTCAGTGTGAAACTGGCTTCAATAGTGTCTGATCATTGAGGATTGTGTTGGTTAAATGAAAACTAATGGCATTTTTTTTTACAAATATGTGTATATCTTTTGACTTAAGTGTGTATGTTTTGACAGAAGTGTGTCATTTTGCAAACAATCTAGGAATTATGCAAATTGAGTGTGGTGTTTGGATAATTGTCATTATATTTTGAAAAAAAAGAACGCGGTTTTCAAAATTGCGTGTAAACAATTGAAAAAAACTGTAAAGTGAACTACTCCTTTAAGGGCCCCAAAAGTGCCTAAAAGGTAGTAAAATAATAATAATCCTAAGGAAAACAATAGGGCCTTCACTTTTTCAAGGCTTGAGCCCTAAAAACAACAAAAAAATAATCCTAAGGAAAACTATATGGACTTCGCCTTTTCAAGGCTTGGGCCCTAAATATTGGAAAGGCTTTTGAAAGGTAAAAATTTTATTATATACCAGTTTTAAATATGCATCTGATCTATTTTGTGATTGTTGCAGGCAAAAATCCTTGATTATGCGGCTCGTTTTTCTTTAAAAATGCGATGGAATATGCAGGTTATTTATGCCATTTTATGCGTTGAAATTGCGGGAACTTGCAAAAACTGATGAAAAAAAGAGAAAAAAAAGTGATTCCCCCCAACACCCTGTTCTCACTAGGCTACGAACTTAATGTAAAGAGTCATTTCTTATTCCTTCCTATGATAAGCAAGCATACTACATCACAAAAAGTGCTGGGAATATACAAGTTCTCATCTTGTTTTATTTCAGACCTTAATAAACACATCAAACTTACAAAACATTGATGAGTCAAACAAGCTCTGTAGCTTTACAAAAGGAATATGCTACAACTTCTGTAAAAATTAATACATAAAATGTAAAAAAAAAATAGTGTGCTCCTGTTACATGTTCATGTCGCATAATTACGTCACTTCATAAAGTTCCAATGGCAACATGGGGAAATTGCTGCTCGTGTGAAGCAAACGCAACATTTTTCAACTTTCTGCTAAGGTACATGTGACATTTTTTCGACAAAAATGCAAGGAATATAAAATTGTGTAAGCATATACTGCGAAAGTGCGGCATATTTGAAAAAAATGCGCCCACTCGCGCATATATATGGCGACTTTGGCTGATTATCTACTGTATAATGTGATTGCATAATCACATTTTTCTGGAGGGACTGAATAATGCATAGTCTACAGCTGTTCTGGCGTCGAAACAATGGCGGACTGTGTACCGCTCAATCGTGGTCTATGCTAATACGGCAGCATCAGTAAACAGTCACATTTACATTTATTCATTTAGCTGATGCTTTTATCCAAAAGCGACTTACAATTGCTATATAAATGTCAGAGGTCGCACGCCTCTGAGGGGTTAAGTGTCTTGCTCAGGGACACATTGGTGTCTCACAGTAGATTCGAACCCGGGTCTCTCACGCCAAAGACTTTTGACTTATCCACTGCGCCATCACCACCCCAGTCATGGACGGGGCTTGTGCAAAAGTACATCACATTGCCCCGAATCTTCTTAAATCACTCTGGTACCAGACTGATAAGGTACTCTGTACTTCTGATACTATAGAATCAAGTTAGTGCAGCAGTACTGATACTTTAGACATCTATACTCAGCAGAACTTCTAACAACAAAGAATCTGCTTTTCAAAAGACATGCCAGATATAGTTAAATCATCCATACCTTTCGTACAACAGGGTCTTCAGGGTGAGCAGGTGCCCCCTCTGGCCCCTCACAAGTTATCCGTGTGGTTTCACTCTTGGCGGGAAAAACATACAGGGATCTCTCCCCAAGTTGCCTTTGAGTATGATCAAAGTACCCAAGTCGCTTCACCCTGAACATTAGAGAAAGTCAAAAGAAAAAATGTAATTGAAAAATCTCCAAATTGTTGAAGTCCAAATCAATGCAGTTTCAAAGGGCTTTGAAGAGCTTCAAAGGGCTCTACACGATCCCAGCTGAGGAAGAGGGTCTTATCTAGCAAAACTATCGGTCATTTTCTAAAAAAAAATAACAATGCATATACTTTTTTACCACAATTGTTCATCTTGTGCTGGTCTGCGATGCACCAGGCATTACGTAATCACGTTGGAAAGGTCACACTGGACATAGACTGAAGTACTGCCCCATTGTTTACAAGTGTGTAGAAGGAGGATCATTCACATTTTATTGTATGTTGATTGAAATATTTATGTCAGTTAATTGTTTAAAATGGACCTTTCGTGTGCGTATCCTGGATGTTTAAAACAATGGGTTGGTACTTCCGTCTACGTCCAGAGTGACTTCCAAAGTGATTACGTAATGCCTGCCGCGTCGCAGACCAGCACCAGACAAACAATTGTGGTTAAAAAGTATTATATATACATTGTTATTTTTTTTAGAAAACGACTGATCGTTTCGCCAGATAAGACTCTACTCCTCAGCTGGGATTGTGCAGAGCCCTTTGAAGCTCTTCAAAGCCCTTTAAAACTGCATTGATTTGGACTTCAACAATTTGGTTACTGCTGAAATCCATTGTATGGAGAAAAATCCTGAAATGTTTTCATCAAAAAACTTATTTCTTTTCCACTGAAGAAAGAAAGACATGAACATCTTGGATGGCATTGGGGTGAGTAAATTATCAGGAAATTTTAATTTTGAGGTGAACTAATCCTGTAAAGGAATACACCTGTATAAACATCCCCTAAGCCATTTCTGTGGTCTATAGGTCAGTGATAAGATTACTTACAACATGGAAATGAAAAAAATTAAATATTTCCTATTAAAAAAGCTCATGGAATGCCAAACATCTGTTGATATTTCACTGGTCTTTGCCTCTTTGGATTACTGTCCATCTATCTCTGTGACAATCTTTCTGGCAGTTTAGTGAATAATTTGTTTTAAATCAATCGACAGCTCTAGTTATAAATAATCAAAATGATAAAACTGCAGTGTGAAAAGCTGATTGTACCTGCAAAGGTTCTCCTGTGTGATGGTTGAAGGCGGTGGAAAGACACTGTCTGACCCCTTTGGAGAGTAACTTTTTGTAATCCATGTCACCTTTAGCTCCACCACTTGAACCTGTAATTATAGACAGATTTATTAATGTATTAATGTAAATTATTAAAACTTGTTGAGACATGTAGCAAAAGCCTGATTTGGTTTCATTATTTCGACATTCCCAATTACAGAACTCTTGTCTCAGTTGGAGTCAAACTTTTGTCTTACCTCTTCCACAACAACTCTGAACTTGCTTTTCTTACTGAGAACAGGCTTCACACCATACAGCCATTGCACGTTAGCAAAAACCTTTGAGGGCCCAATCAAAACCTGCCCCGGATAGAACCCATAGGCATCATCAAAGAACAAACCCTGGAGTAAAATGCAGAGCAACATTTCACACTGAGACATATTCAACCATTTGAGTGAGACAGCTGCATAATGCATGAATTAAACATAATGGCCTAGGTTTCACAGACAGGGGTTAGATTAAGCCAGTAGTAGGCATTAGTTAATTAGGACATTTATGTAGCTTTTATAAACATACCTTAGAAAAAAACATTACTAGTGTGCAGTTGAAACAAAACAATGGTACTGACATGACATGTTGGAGCTGTTTTAACTGAAAGCAACTTGCACTGATATACCGGTATATTAAAATAAGTCAGTGCAAGTTGCTTTCACTTAAAACAGCTAAAACATGCATTTTAGTCTGGGACTAGGCTTAAGCCTTGTCTGTGAAACTGGGGGGGAAAGGTTTCAGCACAGTATAACACTGGGGCAAAAAAAATTTACTTGACCAGCATTTTTCTACTGTGAATACCGTTATATCACCCAGCCCTAATGAATATTATATGACATCAAAAAAAAATCAACCACATAATTGATAATGCAGACAAGAACACCTACCACATCACTGACGTGAGGGTAAATATCATAGAGTTTTGCACCATCTTCCTCACTCATAGAACATCTACATTTAAAAAATTAATTGTATTAAACACAACACTTCAGTACAAATACTAAAAAGTCAGTTTATGTAGCATTCTTTCTTCTCTACTGTGGAGTTGCACTTGAACAAGATTAAAGGTTTAAAGGTTTAATATATGCAGCATCATACTGCATGACCCACACTGACGTGAAGTAATAAGATACATTACATTACCGTGCACCGTTGGAAAGCTTCACAACGATTTGGATGCTGAGATCATACACTTTTCCAAGCCAGAAGTCATATACAATGTAGTCACCATACATAAATGACTGTAGACAGGTACAAAACACAGATACATAGTTAGCTATTTATCTATTAGTCACCAATTTGAATATGCTTTATTGAAATTACTATTAATGTTAGTTATTATGGGTCAGTAAAGTTTTCATTTTTAATGACAATGTTCCCTCCACAAGAATAATTTTTTCCTCCTCAGCTAACACAATTATTAGCATTCCCTACATTCAGGACATTGTGCAACCTCTCATTACCAAGGTAACAAATTTAATTTAGGCTTTAATTGACATCTAAAAAAATTATAGACACATATGCATAGAAATTAGACAGAGGTCATCCTATGCATGGAAGCACAAACATGAATGCTGCAAGAGAACTAAGGAAGTTTGTTCAAGTGTGTGACGCACGCACAAGCTTCCCTGTTTACCATATGTACTGTAACGTTCTCTCTTTGTATGCATTTATGTGTGAATTAGAAAAAGACAAATAAAACTAAAATACATTTCTATAGTTAATAATGTAATGCACATTTCCAAACTTCTATTTTAATTTACAGAAATATTTCTTCATTGTTAGTTTTTGCATTTATTATAATTTTCATTAATAATCTAATGAAACTGAAAACCCATATAGACCACTATATAACACCTGTGAAACACCTCTTTTTTTTTTACTCACCCAGACGTGCTGCAGGTCTTTGCTATTTACAGGATATAGAACACAGTTGGTTCCTACAAGTTTCACTGCACATTTGGTGTTTATGTTGGTCACAATCCCACACTGTTTATCCTGCAGGATTAAAAGAACAAATTAATAACCATCAAGTACTGATACTGTCATCCTAAAAAAAAAAAAAAAAAAAGTAAGACGTCTGTACTACTGGCGTCTGTACTACATAACTGGACTTTTTAGTAGTCCTAGGCATTCTAGTAAATTCAGAGTCTCTGAGACACTTTCTCTATTATTCTGTACATTGTTTTGTCTTTAAAGACAAGTAATAAAAACACAACTTACATTTGAATTCATTCGCCGGACAAAGTCTCTAGGCACAATAGACCGATCTTCAAGTTTGAGCTATATGAGAGGGAGAGATGTGTGAGCAGTTGATAATAGCAATATCTCAAATAATTCCAACCACTTTAACTTTATTTCCATTTGACTCTTCACTCTCCTAATCAAAAAAATATATAATTCAAAAATTTTCTTCACAGCATGACTGCAAAAAAAAAAGAAAGAAAGAAAGAAAAAGAAAAACGACAGCTGATCCATGACCATGACCTCTGTGGACCTGTCCTAAATGGCACACTTCATGTGCACTTGCAGTCTTATTGACTTTCATGCTCAAGTTCGCAAGACTGCGGGACGTCTCATTTGTCTCTTAAGGTTTCAGAAGGGTCATCGTAAGCGCCCCCTTTGCGACCAATAGGCAATGCGCACTTTAGCCGGGCTCGCAAGTGCTTGCAAGCTACGCAGCAGACTTCTAACTTCTATCTGACCTGATGTACATTTGCTCAATGCTCATAAACATGCTTTGGATATTTAAAAAAGGCAGTCTAGTTTCGGAACATCAGATTCGGATTTATTTAAATAATTTTAATCTATCGTCTATTCATGAGACACTGAATAGTGCCATATTCTATTAGGTCTGAATATCAGTTTAAATTGTTCTTTACAATATCTGCTGTCTACAAATATTTCATATAATTTGGTTGTCAAAATCATAAAACTATGGTAGAAACAATGCAACTAATAACAATCTGACCAAGTGTATGTGTAATTCATGAACATGCGATGCAATTACTGGGTTAAACACTAAATCTGAATCCAGGACAGCTCTATCTGTTAATTGGGGCATCCTTGAGATCCTGTTGCTGATCCACTCTAATAAAGGCCAAATAAATACCCAAATTCAACTCAAAAAGTATTTAATCAAATAAATTAATCTTATAACAGGTATAAATCATTTGTACAGGTTCAAAATGTACTTAATTCTGAAAGATGGTGGTCTTTTTCACAGGTTTCCCATATCAACCCCTCCCCATGAGATAAAATTAGAATGTAGTATCATTTGATAAAAATTAATTCCCTGACTTTCCGAATCGCCCACTATAATCCCAGATATATCATATTCTTGAAGACAAAAGGGGTACAAATGTCCACTTTATACAGACTGATCTCTTCCATCATCTCTCCTTTATTAAACAGCAGTGGTAAAGAGCTTACATTTGAAGAAGAGACTTGGAACCAGATCCTGCTCCGAGTCCATACTCATCCTTCAATTAAAATGTATTCATTGTGTTTATTGGACAAAAGTGATGCTTGAAAAAAAAATTAAACTGGATAAACAAGGTATTGATCCCCTTCGTGACCATTGCCATCAGGCCCCGGCTGATTTAATACATATGTTTTTTGTTATGCCCATCAATAACTTTCTGAATATACATTTTTAATTACTTCTACTCGGTGTCAAAGAAACAGATTGTGCCTTGTCCTCTGGTTGTACTTTTTTGGAATCTCCCCAAATGTCAATGGCCTATCCGGATATACTGCAAACACGTTTGCCTTCTTCCTAACATAACTGGCAAGACACCACATTCTCCTGTTATGGAAACAAAATTTCCCTCAATCAATTGACAACTGGCTCCGAGATGCAAAATTATGGTTAAAGGCAACACAGGCATATTTTCAGACCAGGGACCCATTTATTATCTTTTTTTTTTTTTCTGAAATTTCTAGTACTACATCTACATCCTGTCGATTTAAACAATAAGATGTTATCATGATGATGGCTCAAATCTGATGAGACGTTTATGATTTTGTGTGCATGCATGTCTACATACCTGTCTATATATATACTTAATATTCGCAAATGCTTAACATGCACTATATAGTTATGCATTGTTTTCCCCCTTTGTGTGGGGGGTTAGGGGTGGAGTGGGAATGATATTTTTCCCTGTTTTCTTGTACCTGTATCCTGTTATTGTAAAAGTTTAATAAACAGATTAAGCAACAAAAAAGGAAGAATGTAGTATCTCAGTTTTTTGTAAAGAACAGACAAAATGGATTAAGAACCAAAGAGAAAGAGATGAGGTGAAACACAAAAATCAAGAATATTGAATATATGAAAATTATTCTGAATAGGTCAGGAGAAAAAAAAAAACAGTTGACAAAAACCAAAAGGTAGCTTAAAATTAAACCTTCCAGACTACATCTAATACAATAAAAACAACTAAATTTGTTGAGACATCTGAAAAAAAAAAATCATTTTATAAAACGGATTAGTTGTCCATTTTAGAGCTTAAATTTGTTTAAATCTGAAATTGTGACACAGATTTATTGATCTATAACAAAGCCACAGTACAGGGATCGCCCATTGTCTTATTGGGCAATCTATAGGTTAGCCCCACCCCCACCGCTGAGTCAGGGGTGAGAAAGACAGAATGAGAGAAAAAAAGGAAAGATGTCATAAGACAAAAGACAGATGGGACATTGCAACCTTCTTTTTGTGATCAGGCCACCCTTAAAAATATTCTTGTTTGCCGTAACCCGACCGACCCTGTCAATTTAGGGCCGACCCAATTTTTTTTTTTTTTTTCCTTTTAGTCCGACCGACTTGCCGGTTGTAACTTGCGTTCAGACCGACCAATTTTTTTTTTTTTTTTACTCTTCAAACGACTAATTCAAATTCAATAAAATAATATTAATTATATTTTAGTTAGTATTGTGAAAGTTGCTTGTGTCTACATAGCCTACAAACGTAGGCTACGTTCTTTCTTAAATAAAAACCCGTGGCGTCATATTCATCAATTATGTTTACACCATTGGTTTAACGTTACGCGTGTCACTATGGCTTGTACGTTCGCTCGTTTCCCGCTAGTGTTTCCCGCAGTGTTCCCGCTTGGTACCCGGTATTAAAAGGGCAACGGGGCTGAATATCAACCATTTCTATATATAATAAAAATATTAAACAATTTGTCTGTGATGCAATTTTGCTATTAGCAGTCCAGAAGAGAGAGCGATCTCTCACCCGGAGCCACAGCGTGCACAGCACGACGACAGCCCTGCTTAATGAGTGACAATGAGGACAAAACGTGGTTACACTTTAGGTCTGGGATATTATTCTAATTGTATATTAGATTTCCGCTTTCAAAGATTATAAAAAGAAGATATTTGAGATGAAACCATTACAGACGCATTCTGTCTAGCGCAACTTCCTTCCCTTCACAGCGTTGCGCTGTCATTTCTTCCTAAAACCCAAACGTACCGTCAGAATCAGCACGATCGGTGATTGTTGTAAAATGCAGTCTGTACTGTTGCTAAACTGTGGACGCGTTCAATCATTAAAAGAGCTATTAAAAGCACAAAAGTCTGCGCAAGAGACGTTGTTCACGACGCGCGCTCCGAAATGCACTATAACGAGACAAGAAAAGTAGACTATCGCCTCATTTTGGGCTTCATGTGCGCATCTAAACCATCAAATATACATAAAATATAAAATGACCGGCTCTGAGATTCATTTAAACACAGTTTATGTCTTAATTGGACGTAAATAGTTGGGAGAAAATGATGGTGCATCAGTCATATATTACAGTAGACTTCTGCATTCGGTCTTAAAGGGGCAGTAGTCTAATAAACGTGACGATTGAGCCAATGCGAATCAAACAACAAAAGGCAGATAAAAATCACTCACAGCTCTTGAATGAATAACTTAAACTTTAATAAGCATTAATCTAACTATGATAAACTATGCAGTGTCATTATACATTTGATTACTAGCTAAATTAAATTTCTTGTCAGAGAGAGCGACAGACTTAACTGAAAAGTAGCTAATTTTAGACCTTCCTGAAATTAAAGCACTGTGTATATAGGCTAATTTGTATCTTTGTTTGACCATGTGTTTGTACTTGTTTTTGCTTATCTCATGTATATATGCATAACAAATAGATATATTATACATTTTGTGACTAGCCTAAAATGTAACTGGTCGTATTTTGCATTAACACCTAGCGGTGGATGCACAGTTTGAAGACCCAGTCAGTGACGTCACAATATGCTTTTTTTTTTTTTTAATTCACGATCACCATCTCCAAAATTGTACCTTTTTTTTTACACTAAATCTTGAAAAAAAAAAATTTAGACCTACCTACCGACCCTTTTTTTTTTAAAAAATTGCTGTTACTGCAAACCAAAATATTTTTAAGGATGGCCTCATGTATTCAGGATTCATGCTGTGTCCTGATGAGCTGCCATCCAGAAAAATCTCTAGGGACATGGATCTGATCTTATTGTTTAAGCATCTGTAGCATTTTTTTCCTGAGATATTTTCACCTTACAGACTCCAAATGGGACTAGTTTTACTATGACTCATCAAACCAAACCAATTTAATTCAAAATCAATTTACCTCCATAGTAAAATAATATAGCTGTGATTCATATCAGGCCCTGGGCTCATTCTGTCTCTTGTGAGGGTAGGATACTATTAATAATACCCATTTGTGATCTATGCTACATCCTTCTGTTCATGAAGTGTGGGGTGAGAACACTAGAAAGAGTGACTGAGTGACAATGGTGTTCTTTACAAATAATTTAGATACTAAACTCAAACTGTCTTGGTTTTTGAGTGTATCCTGAAGACAGTTGCTTAAAGAGGACAAATGCTCACTTCTCTTCATTCAGCTGTAACCAAGGATATTTTGATTTTTTTTTTATTTATCACATGCAAACCCATATATATTTGGACACAGTGTTTACCTAGAAGTTAGGCAAAACAAATATTTTGCTAAGGTTAGTTCCACACGAAAACAACCCCTCATCCAAAAATAGACTTTATATTATATTAAGTTTTGCCATTCCACAACATGACTTTTCTAGAAAGAGCTGTCCTGTTTTTAGAAAATTGTAGAAGCCAAGAAATAGTTGATTACAAATACCTCCAGATCTGCTCTGGCTTACAGCAGGAATTTTTTAAAGCACCGAGCAGTGCAGTGCATGGTAATGCACAGTCAGGTGGGACGTGGAGAGTAAAATGGGCAGTTATCCCAGCATTTCCAGCAATGTCTCTCTCTCATCCACAC